GAATAAAATTTGAGAAAACCAGACTCCTTCCCTATATCCATCCAAACTAGCTGCTAAAGATGGGATAGCAGAGTAGCAATGAACCGAAACTAATACTTGGAAAGGCTTTTGATCAGGTTTCTCCTATATCTTAAGCTAGCATAAGAGATTACAAAAGTCCGTGTCAATATTCGGCAAGTTCATTCAATGAAGACAACAGTAAAACGAAAAGAAAAGACGATTGTAAATGTATAGATATTGTATTTAATGTGGCTGCGTTATGACTCTCTAACTGAGGATGACACCTTGGGTGTCAAAACGCATCTTAGGTTTCTAAAAGCTTTGTAGAATTTCGAGTATGTATGTTTCATTAATCATACAAATGACCCATTCTTGTTTTGCTGTAATTGTACTGGAGGCTACAAGATAATTGTTATGGTTATGGACCAAGAAGAAACTCGTATTCATCTATTACCTAAAAAAATGTTATAACACTAATGCTGGTTGGTAATCGTTTAATATCTTTTGTAGAACAAACAAGTTTTAGATTTTAGGCATACAAATTGAATGAGGCAACATTTTCAAGTTCAGAAACAACTTATCTACCAATAGATACTGTAAGTTTTGAAAAAGTTCTGGTGATTACGATTAAATGTTTATTTATCGAGAGTTTCTATAAATAAAGTAAGACATTGAAGTACAATATTCTATTGTATTCTAATGTATTTCTGAGTGATAATGTCTAAATTTTATTAAAAAGAAATATAAATACCTGGAATTTACAANATCCATTTTGCATGTTTAAAGAAAATTATTTTTTTACTGATAGGTATTTGTTTAGTTCGGAATTTGTATCATCTTCGTTACAACATTGCAGTGTGTTTCTAGGTCAACAGTGGTATTTTCCGGGCTGTTTTATCATGTTCCATGGATATTTTTCCGTTCCTTGATGGCGGCATCTTGAGTGGTGACTTGGCAGGTGCTGAGTTGTGTCTGATATTCTGCGAAATTCCAAGGACCACGATAAAACAGCCTAAAATAGAATACCGAATCCACAATATCTTTGACTATCTATTTCCAAGCAATTCAGAATTTTTTACGCTCTCATCTGGTCAAGTATTAATAGAAGACAGCTCTGTGTCTCTTTCTAAGTTTCTAGTAGCTTCAAGCATGAATTTCCGTTCTTTTTATATAATGTTTGATCGGTAATTACAGCAAAACGTCATCATCATCATAAAGTCGTCAGTCAAAAATCTATTTGGGCACGCACCTCCACTTTTTCGTATCCTGAGCTAATCTTCGCATTTCCCTTAAACTAGAACATCCCACACCCTTAACTATCTGCGAACAATAATCTAATCTAGGTCTACCTCTACTCCTTTTAACTCCTGTTTCTACCTCTAGTACGTCACTGATTAGCCCTTCATGCCTGAGAAGAAGACCTACCAACCTACCTCACCTATTTCTTGTTGATTTCCATAGAGCTTTCTGTTCTACTATTCTTTCTAATAACTCTTCAATTCTAACCCTTTCCATCCACGCCATCCTCATCGTTCGCTTGTAACGCCACATTTCGAACGCTTCTAATCTTTTTTTGGCGTCGCGCCCACCGTTTATGATTCGCACCTGTATAGCGCCGCGCTCTAAACACACATCTTTAATAATCTTTTTCGAATTTCTAGATTAACCATTCGCAAGCATAGAAGTTACTTCTTTTTATTGAAGGCAATTCGACCCTGCGCTATTCTCTGCTTTATATCCCTCTACTCTTTCCGTCCTGACTTCCTAGATACTGCAAATCAGCCACTTCTAATTTTTTGTCTCCTATCTTTATATTCGCTCTTTCCCTACTTTTTCTTCCCTAGCATATCACTATTTTTGTTTTAATAGCAAAACTTAACATCAAAAAGTTGTTTTGCAATTTGCAAATAGAGAAAACGTCCAGAAAAGTATATTTAAAAAAAAAGTATTTAAATGCAAAATAGAAATTTTATATTTACATTTTAAATGCAAGTTTTTCAAATAAATCACATCTCTAATCGTGTATTCACTAATAACTGTAAGAGTCAGAGTAACACAAATTATTTAATGGTAAACAGACAACACTCTACGACATCTAAAAGGTCGTAATCAAGATTTTTATTTTAAAAGAGCAGTGATAGCACTGCTTAAAAATGTTATACAATCACTTTGAACGCTGTATGGCGTTAATATGAATTGTGTACCTACATACATATGTATACTGAATAAATACTGACATATTTTATGACCTGCATTTTACTTCACATCAATCCCATACACAATAGACTGGGACATCGCATAATAACCATGTATATAATGTGTAAAGATCCTAATAAAACTCGAGGCTTAAATATGGAGTAAGCATTTGATAGTTTCAATGCCAGAATAAATTGTTTAAAGAGAAAAGGCTTTGAAGAACAGTAATATTTAACGAGCTTTTGTTAATTATTTTCACGTACATACATAATTATAACATAAATTAACATTTAATTAATGGTTAACAAATGATTTCAAAATTGTCAAATAAGGCAAAATTTCATTATAAGTTGAACGTTGAACTACTCAATTAAAATTATGATAGTTATGAAAAGAAGTAAAATCTAGAAGTAGTTTGCTACTTATGTAATACAACAGTATATAATTTTAAATGGAAATGAATAAAATATTCGAAATACGGAAGGAACACTTATGCCAAAATTCAGTATTCCTATTACAGAAATGCAATGGGGGTAACCCAATGTAACCTAACCTTTTTTAACCAATAAAAAAAAGGAGAAGGTTATCAAATCAACGCGTATATTTTTTTGTTTTCTTTTATGTATGACCACGCATAACCTTTTACAGAGACCTATTTTGAAAATTATATTTTTTTTTGGAAAGGGTATCCCCTGAAGTTGGTTCCATATAAATTTGGAACAAAATTCCAACCCTAGGGGTAGGAAAACAGGGGATGATTGTTGATTGTTGTTCACTCACTGATTTCACTATTTCCCTTATTAATAGGCACTAATTTCCTAATTCTATCAAGAGAAATAATCTAAATTAATTCTCCAAATTAACCATTAAAAATTTGTTTGAGTTACTAATAAGCCCAAAGTTTTAAATAAACCTCTGGTTTTTATCTGGTCATTACAGCAGTATTAGCATCTAGCACGGAGGAATTAAAGATAGCTTAAAATAAAATGAAAGCGGTATTGACAAAACAGTATTATATAAATATAAATAAAAGTAAAAAAAAGTACCTATTGGTATGCAGCGGAAGAAAAAGTAAGTAAAAGAGCGAATATAAAAACAGGACACGAAAAATCAGAAGAAGTGGCTGATTTTAGTTATCCAGGAAGCGAAATACGTCAGGACGGAAGGAGTAGTAAGAATATAAAGCAGAAGATAGCGCAGGGTCGAGTCACCTTCAATAAAAAGAAGTCACTTCTATGCTGGCGAACGATTAATTTATAAATTCGAAAAAGATTGTTAAAAGTGTATGTTTGGAGGGCGGCACTGTACGGGTGTGAAAATAAAAGGTTAGAAGCGTTCGAAATGTGGTGTTACAGATGAATGATGAGGATACCGTGGTAGAAAAGGTTAGAAATGAAGAGGTATTAGAAAGAACGGGAGAACATAGGACTCTATGGAAGTCAATAGAGAAGAGGCGAGATAGGTTGGTAGGACACGAAGGTCTAGTCAAAGACATATTAGAGGTAGAAACAGGAGTTAAAAGGAGTAGTTGTAGACCTAGATTAGATTATTGTTCGGAAATAGTTAAGGATGTGGGATGTTCTAGTTTTAGAAAAATGCGAAGATTAGCTCAGGATGGGAAGGAGTGGAGGTGCGTGTTTAACCATTCTTAGGACTAACGACCTCTTGATGATACAGTGATATCCTTAGTGAAGCCAATTTTTTAAATAAAAGTCTGAGATAACTTAGGAATTTAATAATGTTTGCTTTATTTAATACATCTAATCACCTATTTCTCTGTAATTAATAAAAAAATGCATTTTATTATTAGCTCACATATACATAGGTATGTAGTACCACCGTTAGTAATTATGTGGTTACAATCATTTATTAAACTTAGCGTGGGATTGAAGCATTTTAGGCGCTTTCAACAATTTAACAGTACATAACTATGTAATGCAATTAAATTGTTTACACGGTTGAAATTGTGAAAGTTCCTTATGATCATGAAAACAGGAAATTCGTCGTGTAAAAAAATTCTTCTTACAAAATAGAATAAAATTCATATTTTCAATTCAATGGTCAAGCAACGTCAATAGCAATAACTCTCAAATAAGTAAGTAATCAAAAATAAATCTTGAATTATTAAATATCTAAAATAACTTTTCTACGAACAGAGAACTGAAACTCGGTGAAATGCATAAAATACATGAACCCTTCAAGGGTATTATATTATTAAAACCAATTTTATTAAGCTGATCAAGTAACACTAAAATCACTTATTTAATTAAAAGTCCAATCATACCAGGACTTTTTACTACAATCAAGTTCTATCGAATTAAAGTAAACAAAATGTCATTATTGATATATCAATTTATTANTAAATAAATAAATAAATAAAATAAATGTGTCAACGAAACGTAGATGACAATTTTTTCACAATAATTTTATAACTAAAACTTCCTTTCTTTTCATTGCAATTTGAATACAAGAATTTAACATAACTTTTTACAAGTACACACGACCGATTCAGTCCTTTGGGATGTCCTGGATTATATTCCTTTCAGAACTAAAATCTTACGTTATATGTATATGCAATTGATTTTTTATAAATATAATCTGAATTTTCACTACGACCGGAAAGTGCGTATCGGTCAAGAGTCTTCTTATCTTTCTTATCATGGGGTAAATTATCAACCTTCAAAAAGGCATGCAGAATAACATCGACGAACCCCACCAGTCACCCGGTCCCAATCTAAATAATATAAAACGATGAAATATGCCGATGGATTGTTTTGAGGAGGAAACTTGAAAATAATTCTTACCCAAATATTTAACTTGAAAGGTGAGAGGTAAATCGTCTTTTGTAATACTAATGTCTCTTTCTGAAGCCATTTCTACCACAATGTTTGGTGATTTTCACTTGACAAAATAAACTACGCCGGTTCGTTATCACAGAAATATGAAAGATAAAATTGACACGTACTTATGTACCTACGAATATGTGAAAACAGACACACAAACTGATTAATATTTGCTTTAAACTACTGACGATAAGCATACAGCGGTATCTGATTCACGAACCATGTGTACGTATGCCATATTAACTTTCACTCGTACATCCTTCCCGCCTTGCGTTAAATAAACGACTGTTTGGTTTTATTTCACCTGTTGTCGTGCACCTTGTTCACTGTCCCCTCACCGCCTTTCAACTTTATTAATTGTTATCTCTGAAATAAAAAGCGGAGCGGTCGAGGGTGACCGTCAAGAGGCCAGGGATGGAATCAGGCTCATTTCTAAGTAATCCGACAACGATTAAATATGTGAATTTGTGAATCGGCTTTGCTGCGGTGACTAAAACCATACAGTTTTATCTATTATCGCAGACATTTTTTAGCTTTGATAAGAATACGCAAGGACTTTGCTAATTATAACATTGTTGAGTTAAATTTGTACAATACGAACCAATAATAATGTATTTAGGGTAAATGTCTAGATGATGGCGGTGGGGGGGATCGACAGAGGAGGTCTTCCCTACCACTGTACCATAAAAAGTTTGTGGCGGTCTCACCCCCATAAAAAGTTATGGGTGTTAGATGATGACCCCCGAAGGGTTGGTGGGATCGAAAGAGGGTAGTCACCTGAGTAAAATCCCATAAAAAAATTTCGGCGGTCTCACCCCCATAAAGAGTTATGGGGGTTGAAATTTGATTATTTTGACAATTTTCATACACTATAATTCAAATAAAATTCAATAAAATAATTATTTTCAAGTGGGTGGAGGTGGGGGATCGAAAGAGGGTGGTCACTTGAACAAAACCCGATAACCTAACCTAACCTACCCTATTGATAAAGATATTTAAATAATGTTTTATATAACTTTCTCAATATTTTTATGTATTTTTCATTAATTTTACCTTTGAATATTGTTTAAGAATGACTATATACATATTTACATGCCTAGAAATGTATAAAAATTGGCATATTGATTAACTTTGAACCCCAATAACTTTTTATGGGGGTGAGACCGCCACAAACTTTTTATGGTACAGTGGTGGGGGAGACCTCCTCTTTCGACCCCCCCCCCCAGTTCGGGGGTGGGGGCCATCATCTAGACCTTTACCGTATTTAGTTCTCAATGTGATGTGTGAAAGTTAAAAATGTTATTTTGTATTATTTTGTGTAACTAAAAAGCTAAATTCTCACATCTCGCATTTTGCACATGTAAAATGCAGCCGTTGGAATTCTAAGTCGACAAAACAAGTGATCATTGTTGTTTTAATTGATTCTAATACATAGGTAACATTAGCATTATGATTTGAATCACCGTTTGGGATTAAAAAGTAAATCAAGAAAAAACAGACATCGGTAAAAGAAAATGAAATTATGTAATGTATACGTGACGATGTGAAGCTGCCGAAACAAAATAATTACAGTCGAAATTTCTCCATAAGCATTATTTTCTAATGAATTTTATCTGTTACTTGTAGAGATGTACAAAATGTTTCTTTTAAAGTATTTAAAAACAAAATGCAAATACTTTTTTGATTTGTTATTTCAAATGTAAAATACAAAATAGATTTCCGTTTTGTATTTTAAGTGCTAAATGAACAGTTCAGCAACAAATAATTCTTATTTATGCACCCTAATTTGCCTTCGTCACCGTTTTAATTGGAAAAAAGACACTGATGCCAAAATAGTTTGCTTAGCGTGAAAGATCAAAGCCAAAATAGGGTTGCAAATAATTTTATTGATACAAAATCACCATCAATCATTTTATATCAAAATATTTACTTTTACACATTGTAATAAGAAAAAGAAATGGAATCCGTAGTTTCTTCAGCTTTGAGTTCGTTTAATAAGTGAATTTTTATGAATCGTTTTTTAAGAATTTTGGATTATACATATTCATTAGCACACCACAATATCTTGTAGTTTTCAGTTTTACACAGCTGACGCATATCAATTCGATTTTGTTTTGCGGGCTGTTTTGTCAAAATTCACAGAATTTCGTAGTTCATTGCTAAAGGTACGATAAGTGGTGATTTGACAGGTGCTGATATCGATATGGAACTTCAAAATTCCAAGACATTGAACCCGAAAAACAGTATTGATCCAATATTTTAGATTATTCATTTCCAAGGAGTTTAAAATTTTTTGGGCTCCCTTCAGTTAAAGAATTAGAAGGCATTTAAGGAATGTCTCATTGTCCCCTTTTTAAGCTTCTAATACCTTCAATGGCCAATGTGAGCAACTTTCATTCATCATTTTATATAACTAATGTTATCGGTGATACTAGCAAAACTTTTAACGGCAAAAATGTATTTTGCATTTTACAAATAAGGTAAAAATAGATATTTTTTATTTTGTATTTGCATTTTAAATGCAGGTATTTCAAATAAGTAAATCAAATCTCTTGTTACTTGGAAATAACCAGATGATAATGGGACGGGTGTTTTAGACAAAAGACTCCCGCTGTTTCTTAACTATGGTACTGTCCAAAATGTCAAAGGCATATGGAGCTGACCAAAAGAAGAAACGATTTTCTTGGAAAAATGCGAGAAATTCAATACCGAAAAGACTGTAATTATTATTCATTAGTAAGTGGCATTTCGCGTAAATTTCGCATTTTTTAGGGCATTTAGTGTCAAATCAAGATTTATTTATATCGAAGGAAGGTGGGGTCTATAAATTGTAAAACAATGCAATTCAGGGTTGAAGTTTTAGTCGTCATTCTATCATTCATGTAAAGTGACAATTGAGTGTGTTTCTTTAAGGAATTTCCATTAATTAACCTAAAAACATACAACAAACAAACACATGTAATAGAACTTAAATGAGCACAGATCGCAGCGTTATTAGACGCAACGAATCGACATTATTCTATCATCGAAAATGTATCATTTATGTGCTTATTTAAACTTATTTGTAACCTAGTAAGAAGCTTAGAAAACTTCGACCTATATCTATAATCAGATGCGTCGCTCGAAGATTTAATTTTTTATGAGATGCATCCCCTTTAAACGATCCACGTATTATTTTCAATATTAAAAATAAACAACAAGGTTAGATTAGGTTGGATTAAGTTAGATTAGATTATATGCAACGTGGTACATAAAAAACTATATGAAGGGCAATTATAGGTAAATCCTAGATATCATGTCCTTTAATAAATGCAGAATGCCGAAATCTTTAATTTAGTACACCATACATATATCAGTAAATACTACTTTTGAATATCTATTAAGTATGTAGATTTTTAATTTATTTCTTGGGCTTACACGTGATTCATAGAATTTTGCTTTTGTCCTTTTCTGACAGCTTTTGCAGTGGTGAGTTATTTCGGATTAAGAAAATAATTAATCACTACTTTGGCACCCTTTATTTAATATTAAACGTAGATATAATGCTAGATACTGATTTCTAGGAGCTCTCTAAGAAATCTTTGTAATAATAATAAATAATTAGTCCTAAGGTTAGCAAAATTGAAATTGTTTTACAAAAACAAATTTGACTTTTTACTTTTTCTTTTAGGTAAGTACTGTACAATAGCGCTAATTAAATAATATCGAGTTACCATATTATTCCAAACCTTGAACTTTACTTTTAGCTGATGCGTTTAGACGCTGATAAAGAAACTTACATAATATTAAAAATATTTCACTATATGACTAAGTGGTTAATAGTTCATACAACAGAAAATTGCAAACAAAGGAAGTATTTGTTATTAACGAGTAATAGGAGAATGAGAGGCGGAAAAAACAATTTAATTGCTGTTAACAACTCTTCAATATTAATCTTAGTCATGTACTGTAACGATTTAGTGTAATAATGCTGTTACTACGCTTTATTTTGCAAAAAAGCAATAGTAAAGTCTTTTATAGTTTTTATCTATGAAGAGGCCAGAGAAGTTTTAGGTCATTTACAGACAAATACTTTTTTACATTAGTCTATTAGTATCAGCCATCATCGGTATTTCAGTTTAGTTTTAATTTAATTAGTTTCTGATTTATTTAATTTAAATTTTTAAAATGGCTTTATTAATTGTTATCTCTGAAATAAAAAGCGGAGCGGTCGAGGGTGACCGTCAAGAGGCCAGGGATGGAATCAGGCTCATTTCTAAGTAATCCGACAACGATTAAATATGTGAATTTGTGAATCGGCTTTGCTGCGGTGACTAAAACCATACAGTTTTATCTATTATCGCAGACATTTTTTAGCTTNTGTGTTATAATATATATTACCTACTATTAAATTTTCATTATTACTTATCCATGATTTATTGTATGATTATTACTTTATTAATGCTTCGAATTTAATCACAAATTAATATTATGGACACGGATTATGGAAAACAGGTTTTTTTTATGTTTTTGTGGAAGAGGGGAAATCGTCAAAAGACACCCAGCCGTCGGTACCACTGGGTAGCGTCGGATTCCCGAGGAAGAAGTCCTCGGACCTACCGACTAAAACCCCTCTACCTCAGGCCATTCTAGGACCAACTAGGGTCCTCTTCAGCCTAAGAAAACAGGGTACCGAAGATACCAATTTATATCTATATCATCATCATCGCAGAGTCATCACATCAAAACGAAAACACCTTCACATCCTGAGCAAATCTTACGAAGACTGAAATACCCCACATCATTAACCATTTGCGAGCAGTAATCTAATCTAGGATTTCCTCGTATTTCAAAAGGCGTCTTGTCATATACTAGCTCTGCTTCCTCCATAGTGTCTTTTGTTCTCGTACTTTTTCTTATGCCTCCTCATTTCCAACCTTTTTCATCAACGGTATTTTTTACCTGTTGATGTTTTATTCCCAGTAGCTACTCTTCTGGCTGTCCCTCCAGGCTATGCCGGAGAGCAGGGCGCAAGGTCCCCTTCAGCATCTTTTTAGGGGAATAGGTGGGTGGTGATTGGAGTGAGAAAGATAAAACGGATGAAATGAAGATAGGAGAGAGGACAGCATTTGTCTCAGTGATCCAAGTCATCATCATCATAAGGTCGTCAGTCCTAAGACTGGTTGGACACGTACCTCTCCTCTTTCCTATCCTGAGCTAAACTTCGCATTTCCCTAAAACTAGAACAGCTCACATCCTTAACTATTTGCGAAGAGTAATCTAATCTAGGCCTACCTCTACCCCTCCTAACTCCTGTTTCTGCCTCTAATATGTCTCTGACTAGACCTTCATGCCTGAGCCGGTGTCCTACCAACCTATCTCGCCTATTTTTTATTGACTTCCATAGAGTCCTCCGTTCTCCTATTCTTTCCAATACCTCTTCATTTCTAACCTTTT